AAATTATTATTATTTTGTCATATCTTACACTGTCCGACGTCTCCCTTCACCCACTTTTCTTCTCCGATTTTCTTTGTTTTGATCAGTTTGACAGGTGTGAAGAGTCCCGATACGTTGTGACCCACCATTATACTCAAAGAAGAAAGGTGCTTTTCTCGTTGTCAGCCTGGAATATGGATCTTGGGAGGAAGACGACAGAAGCGAATGCCTCTCTCATTACACCCACGTTCATGCTCGACACATAGCTTCTGACTGAGAATGTGAACCGTGACCAAGGTCGTGTTTGTCAGCTCCTCCACTATAAAATGACGTCTACCCTGAATTACTTCTGATCATTGATCAGCACCATGAAAAGCGCTGCCCACAGACAGAATGTTTACATGTAGATTCCTACCATGCCCCAGCCAGCCCAGGCAAAGGAGGCCCAGCCTCAAGGGCCTTGCCTGGCGTGCCCTGGATGGCATTTGGGCCTGCAGAGTGTTGAGCCATACTCCGATGGCCTTCGTCTGAGGACCCTGAGCCAGTCTTGTAGGCTTTCCCATGTGCAATAGTGCGTGTGTCCCAATCATGGTCCCTCTCCACTTCTGTAGTCCCACCTGCAACTGTGATGAGCTGACCTGCCACCCGTCAGGATGCCGTGATGGTTTCTTTCGCTGTCTACGTCCTATTTAAGTGGCTGGGCTTCTGTGACTCTCGGGAGGCTGTTACAGTCTCTTGCTGATAGACTCCCTCATCCGCACGGTTGGTGTTTGCCTTGTTTAAGGCTTGTGAAGTGTTGTCTTGACAAGTTACATTTGACTTCAGGGTGTCTTTTCTCTCTTAGAACAAGGGGAAGCCTGATACTTGACATTCCTTGGAAAAGGGAATAATTGCATAAATGACATAAAAGTCTTCTGTACGGGAGATCTACCTTCTTCACTAATTTATTTGTTCATTCCATAGTTTATCTATTTTAGCATTGATTCATGAATTTAAAAAATAATTTGGTTACCGTCAGTATTATGTTCCCTATTTTATTGTTCAAATTGTTCCAGCTTTGACCATTTGATTCTCTTTCAGATTGACTCTTGTGCCCCTTTAACGTGATGTCATCCTTTGAATATTTTAAAGTACTTCCTTACTTCCTGGCACTAGAAGATGCTCCAGCTCAGGGGCTGGTAAACGGTGACTCGCCTGCCTGCCATATGTGGCTCTTTAGGTAAAATTGAAAAGGAAAGTAAAACAATCATAGTTTCCTTTAAAGTATTACTCCTTGATCTTAAAAATATTTTTATGGCTCTCAAAATATTTTTAAATTGTTGTAATGGACAGGATTGGCTCTTTCACCTCAAAAGTTTGCTGACCCCTGTTCTACTCTCATTTTGTGTATTCCTGCCCCAGCCCTAGAGCAGACTATCATAAACAGAACAACTCAACAGTGCGTGCTATAGAGGATAAACAAAATCTTTAAAATGCCTGTAATCATTATGATGAAATGAAATAAAACTGGAAAATAAGTGTAAAACGTAGTTGAAGAAAAATGTTCATGTTATTGACATTCAGAGTCAGGGATTTCTATTCCTGTAAACAGTTACAGTCTCAGAACCTCAAAAAGGCAGTGCTACCCTGCCCTATACGGTCCATATGAGTCACCATTGACTTGATGGCTGTAAGCATTCATCTTTATCTTCCAAACTCACTACAGGTACACAAAAGCTCAAGAAACAAGACTTCCTCATAGCTCAACTGTGGGTGCTCTGGTCTCCAGCCAAACAAGGTGCGTGTGTGACTCTATTCTCCAGAAATGTCTGGTCTTTCCCATTTCATTTCATTTATCTACTCAAGTTGTCTTCCCTACTACCGGCTTCCCTACACCCAACACTCATGGGTTGACACCCTGCATATTTCACAAGGTACCATTGTGATTCTAAACTCAACCATAGACGTTTGCCTGAATATATAGCCTCACTCTTCCCTCCCTTGAATTCCATGTCAATTTTTCTGAGTTTCTTATTTCAGCCTTCCACTGTTGTGAATGGTTTGGCGCATAGGTTGCCTTTTCCCCTCTGCAAGGGAAGCCTCTGAGCTATTCCAATCCATCTACCCCCCAGTCTACAAGACAGCCAGCCCTCAGCCTCGGCTTAATGAGCACGCGAGTCAGCCAGCTGGCCAGTGAGCTTTGTTAGAAAGCACTTAAAGATCAGCCCGGGGACCAAGGCACCAGGAAGGAGAAGATGTAAATCTCCTCTCCTTACTTTACTGGAATAAGTTGAAAAAATGAATCAAGAGAGCATGGTACTTGTTTATGTAGATTTTGGTGTGGGGCTTGAGACATTTCCCCTCGTTCTTCATAATCTTGTGGAAAAGTTGGTGAGCATATCATTAGCTGTGGGCGAGGCGGCCTTGTCACTTTTTTACGCCTCTTTGCTTCCTTGATACGGAGGAAACACTATCTCCCATTTCCACAGTGTCTCACGCATTTCAGTAATTTTACAGATTTTTCTGCAGTGTCCTTGCACATAGTTATTCCAGCATTTTTGAAGTTGTTCAATAACTGTGCACAGAAAAGAATAATAGGTCAAGGTCAGTATTTGAAAATAACAGGTCAAGGTCAGTACTGGAGAGTGAAAGCTGACTTGGGTCATGAGGAAGACAGAAGAGGTTGGTCAAAGTTATGGGCAGGACACATTCACAAAGCAGATCCCCACAATATCCCAAGAAGGATTTCCAGGAAGATGAACTTCATTGTTTATGCCTAACTTGATCACTCATATTAGATGCTCTGAATCTTGGATTCTTGCTGGGATCTGGAGGCCCTGGAAGTAGAGTAGGTTATGCTCTGGGCTGTAACTCAGTGGATCAGCAGTTTGCACCCACCTGCTGCTCCCTGGGAGAGAGAAACTCTAGGCAGCAATTCTACTCTGTCCTACGGACTCTCTATGAGTCTGAAGGAACTCCGTGGCGATGGCTTTCTCCAACAGCTGATGAACTTCACCCCCAAATGCCATCTCTTGTTGGAGAAAATAAGTTGTTTATAATACATTGATATCGGAGTCAACCGTGGCTTTTGAGATCATGCCTGTTACCACTGTCCTGGGGACTTTTATTGTATCCTGTGAGGTCCGCATCCCCCTTCCCTAATAGCTTCCGTTCTCATTCCAAACAGAAAACCCCACGGATTCATTGAGCCAATTTCAGTTCGTGGTCGCCCTTTGTGTGCAGGTTGTTGCCCTCGATAGGGTTTTCAACGCTGTGATTTAATTTTTTTGACAGCAGTTCCCCAGTCTTTCTTCAGAAGCGTCACTGGGCGAGTTTGAACTGCCTGCTTTTCAGCGAGTAGTCAAGTGTTTAACTGCTCATGCTCCCCAGGGACCTCCTTCCTTCTTGCCGAGTTTAGAACTGCGTGCTTCTGAGAAATCATCTCCTTGACTTCTCACCATAGCAACGACCTGGAAGTCCTAGTTGTGGGACTTGTCTTGTCCTTCTCTAACTCCTTATTGTCCTTTCAGTTCCAGAGGCAAGAATCCACCAACGGCCAGTCCCAGACTTTGCTCACCTCTCTCTCGCTGCACTTTTCTTTATTAATCCTAAGTGCTTTCAGTGGTCTGAGAGTTGGGATGCTCAAATTTCTGCATCTGGGCTTGTATTCTCCTTTGTACTAGATCCCAGACAGTGAAGATTGACAGTCAAAATGACTCCTTTATCTCTAGGGCCTAGATTTCCTTTAGTTCTTAGGAATTTAGAAATCTAGGGATAGACCATTATTGTTCTTATTACCAATGTCAAACAAAAACTATATACGTATACATGTTTATGTGTGTTTCAAATATATTTAACATGTGAAATTCAAGTTTATCTCTATTTTAAAAGGGTCGATATCCTTTGGCTATAAGATTAATAGTCAATATCCTTTGGCTATAATAGTTGGTTAATAAAAGAGCCAAAAAGCTTATTTAGCTCCTGTGTCCCTTTTAAGAAAAGTTTAATTAATTTTGCTGTTGTTTAGGGGATTTCGTTTTTAAGTAGGAAAATTTTCTCATTTCTAAGTTCTTGTAGTGTGCTCAGCCCTATGAAGCTAGGGGCTTTACATGTAATTATATCACTTACTAAAGCTTCTACAGATGATGGAAACTGAGACTCAGGAAATCTTCACCATTTATCCCAAAATTGACCAACTGGTGTGCATTGAAATCCTGTTTCAGGACTCTTAAACTGGACACCAAAGTGTGTGCTTTTCCACTGCTCCCATACTTGGGGGAGAAAATCGGATTGGGTTCCAGAGTAAGGCTGTACCCAGAGAAAAGAGGGAATGGCTGGCCTGGACTCATTGCATCCTACAAAGAATCCTTCCCAGAGCAAGCCGTGGTCTCTTTTCAATTCTGCGTGCCCCTGAGGACGGTTCCATGGGAGACGGCCCTAACCCACTGCTACCGAGTCACTTGATTTTAAGACAGCATCGGACAGACCCACAGGGTTTCTGGGACTAAATCTTACTGGAGCAGGCTCATCCTTCTCCTGGAATGGCTGGTGGGTTTTCACGGCTGACCTTGTGGCTAGCCACTCAATGCTTAATCCTCTGCACCAGCAGGACTCCTTAGAAGAGGGAATGTCTGATGATGTTGGACAATGTTCAGTCATCCTTCAGGGTCCCATCTCCTCTCATGTGAATTATGAAATTCCCTCTGGCCCTTGAAATCACCACCATCCCATTGTTGACACGAGAGAGCCCCTGGACAGCTCTGAGTGACCTGCGGTTTTCTGGAACAGCAGAATTGCAACAATCAAGAGTTGCCTCATGGCTAGGCTTCCCAATTGCAGCTGAAGATCTTGGTCCAATAAATTGCCTGCCACCTCCAGAACAGATGATGTGATAGGATGTGCGCCCCCAGAATTGTGCTCTGTGGGCTTTGTATTATGTGGGCAAGCACAGGAAATTTGAGGTCAGCCACATTCCTCCCACATTAGAGACACAAGCCAGCATGTTCCAGCTAATCACACCTGATACTATCCCGTAGGCTTTGGACTGTTGGTGGGAAGGGTTTGTAGTTTATCTGCTTTGTTGTCTGTTCAATTTGATCAACATAGACATGTGCTTGCCCCCGAGAAAGAATAAGGTAATCTACAAGAGTAAATGAAAAAGTAATGGTAAAAAATGACAGAAAGCTTTATTGAACAAAAATGGTAAAATGCGAAGCTATTGTTTCTCAACATAGCCTCTATCTTCCCCTACACACTTCTCGAGGTGATGTTTCCATCTCCCTAACCCTTCCTCAAAGAATTCTTCATGCTTAGATTTTGACACCCTGTCAAAATGGCAGTTTGGGCATCTGTTAGGGATTAAAGCAGGGTTCCTTTTAAATGATGAGTTTTGGGAACAAATGTCTGAAGGGGCAGCACCAGGCTGTACAATGGGTGGGGTAAGTTTTCCTACCCCAATGGAATGATCACAGGACAGCTCTTGCTGTCGTTGAAGAGTGAATAGATACATTGTAATAATGGGGAAATATTCAGTGGTACAATTTTCTTGGCCTTTATCTCATAATGCAGTTTTCAGTTTTGTTTGTTTTTTTAAACTTCTACCTAAGATGTCTCCATGATTCCCCTGTGTCTTTGCAGAAAATCTACCACGAGGACCACTTTGAAGTTCTGAAAAACAGTTGCTGTAACCTTCTGAGCTCACCTCTCTGCCTTGAACTTCACTGGCCCAACAAATCCTTTAAGAAGCCACTTGTGGGGCTTGAGCATGTCTCTTTCGCTGCAGTGTCATAGCAATAAAATGTGATTCTTGGGAGGGGGGGAGACGTCTCCCCCACCCCCAGGGAGCTGCCCATGGCTTTATTTATGAGGCTGGTTTCCGGTTAGTTGGAAGAGCAACCATGCAACTCCTCACTCCCCAGAGCCAGGGCTCACATGAAAAGGGTGGTCGAACTTTGGTTATACACATTTGCTTTGTGTAAATAAATGTTTACAGTTTTATATTAAAGATGGAATAAGAGTTATATCTGACTGTATATTTTTTACTTGTATAGATTTTAAAACTATGATCCTTTATATATGTGTGTTTGGGGTGCTACAATAAGTTTTATGGCAACAGTTGGTATTGTTAACTTTTTATTGTCTTCAAAGTACATAAAAATCCTATTAACCCCCATATTCTTCTACTTCCCTTTAACTCTGGTATACACCAAAAAGAAATCTTTACTTTCCTTGTTTTATCATTATAAAAATAATAAAAATATTTTGCTAGTTAAAAAAAAAAAGAAGCCACTTGTTTGTTTATTATCAGCAGTTTTAGTGACACATAATTCACATATCGTACAAGTCAATCGTTTAAATCTATTAAGTAGAGTTGTAAATTCATCACCACACTCAGTTTTAGAACATTTTCTTCATTCTTGCGCTCATTATTTTGTCGTTCCATTTCCTCTCAACCTCCCAGTCCTAACCCTAAGAAACAACGCCTCTGGGTGCTTTCTTTGTATATTTACCTAACTTACATCTCATATACAGAAAATCATTAAAAAAAACCCACACCACAGCAGAATAAGAACAGAAAAACCTCGATCCCAAAGATGGCAGGAAGTAATAAAAATGAAGCGAATTAAAAATGGGTCAATAGGGAAAGCAAAAGATGTTGAATTTAATCTAACTGTATTTGCAATAATCTTTTTTCTATTGCACTCTGACCGGGGACAAGATCATTCCCTTCATGGGTTCATGGACCAAGGGAATTCAATAGAGACTTAGTCCATGTAGGAGTTCTATAAATAGATTTTGGGCATTCACCGTCATCCATAGCATTATGCAAACCGCGTACTCAGAATGTAAGCTCTAATACTGTCTCCTCCTCTGCTCTTGGACTTTTTGGTTAATAATTTTTTGATTACATCATCTGATATGCTTATTCTGTGTAGATTTAGCTGACCCTCACCTAGATGGTTGCTTGTTTTAAGATTAGATTTTAAGACCCCAGGTGCTATTCTTTCTGATAGCCAGGCACTATCAGATTTCAGAAGCCTCTGTTTTGACTGGGCCTTCCTTTCTGGGTCATATGAACAAATCCAAGAGCCATCCCAGATTAAGATTCTTTCTATATAATTATCTTCACTAATGTCAGTATTGCTTCAAAGACTCATGGGATGGTCAGCTCTGAGTTCGCTGATCTTTGTGTGACATTGTTGACACTCATTCAGCTAAAAACTTGGTGAGGTCAAGATGTTCAATCAAACTAAAAAATGCTGAACACGTAAAACTTCGACTTTCGGAGCTATCAAACATGGTAATGATTTAGTCTTCTTCCACCTCCTTTCTGGACTTCAGACACAGTGTCTTCATTCATTGAGGCTGCGGTCTCCCCGCTCTAGGTTCATCTTTGTGGTTTTCTCAACCTTCCTGAAAATGCTTGCTCTATCTTTTTTTTAAAAAACGATCTTTTTAATTTCTTAATCTTTTTATTGAGATCCCTTACAGATACCATAACATTCCATAGTTCAATCACATCAAGCAGTGCTATGCAATTACTACCACAGTCAGTTTCAAAATATTTTCTTTCTTCTTGAACTCCTTGATATCGGCCCGCTTTCTCCCCTGAAACCCTTATTATTATTATTTTTGCCACATCTTACACCATCCAATATATCCATTCACGTACAATTCTATTGCTTTTTGCCCGTGAATGGGGTTACACAGTCACCAATGCCATCAGCTCCCCCCTCCCTTCTCCCTTTCACTTCCCGTTCCCTCAGAGGAACCTTACTCCTGTTACTGTTTCTGAAGGGTTATCTATCTTGGCTTTCATGTATCAACGATCTTAAGTATACAAATGAACATACTGAAGTCTAACATGATTAATGAGGTGAAACAAATAAAAGCCATAACAGTAAGGGAAGGAAATATTAAAGAACTAGAGGATAATTATGTGTTTCATCGGTGTTATACGACACCCTGGATCTATCATCCCTTCCGTGTGGCCCTTCTGAGAGGGACTGTCAAATTAACGTGCAGGTGGGTTTTGGGTCTCCACTGCAGCCCCATTTCTTCACATTGATTTGATTGCTTGTTTTTGAACTTCTGATACCTTTTCCTGTCGACACCTCATGATCGAACAGGCTGGTGTGTGTCTTCCATGTGGGCTTTTCTGTTTTCCTGCTAGATAGCCACTTGGTTGACTTCAAGCCTTTAAGTCCCCAGACACTGTATCTTTTGATAGTTGGGCACCATCAGCTTTCTTCACCACATTTGCTTATGCACCCGCTTTGTCTTCTGCAATCGAGTCTGGAAGGTGGGTATCATACAGTGCCACATTATTAGAACAAACGGTTCTTGTACTGAGGTAAGATTTAGGTAGAGGCCCAAAGTACATCTGCTTCCTTATTACATTTGCATTTATATATATATAAACAAATATACCTATATTTAAATATTTACATTTTCACATATATTCATATATATACCTCTATAGATATTTTTTCCTTTCGTCATTTTCTTCTTTTATTTCTTTCCTCCTGCCCCCACTTTCATGTTTACCCATTGTTCACCTCTCCTAATTCCTCTCACATACAATTCTATTGATCAAACATGACCATATCTTCCTTGCTGTCAATTTTAGAACTCTTACTATTTCCCTGTACCTGTCATTATTGGCTCACCGCTTTCCTACCCCAGCCTCCTCCTCTCCCATGTTCCCCAGGAACCGTCAGTCCAGTCGTTGTCTCCGTAGGACTGCCTATCCTGCCTATCTTGTACACACACACACACACACACACACACACACACACACACACCAAACAAACAAGTGAGAGAGAGAACATCCAAGTAGTCCCAAGTCTATCAGGGATCCTGACACAGAGCAGATGAACAGCTCTCTGTTAAATAGAGTGAAGGACATGTTATGATCCGTTAGTCCAGTCCCCATTTCTTTCAGGGCTCCACATCCCAGGTCCCACTTACCTAACAACACATACCCCTTTAGTCTTCAGCATTCGTGTCCAAAAGGTGAGCATCCTAAAAGTCCCCATGCGGAATGAAGTGGTCTAGTGCCCCACCGTCCCCTTTACACCTTTAGACTTTCAGTGTGGCTCCCTCGTGAATAACCCCAAGCTCATTCAGATGGGGTGCCAAGTGCTGCCCCCAAGTCAAAAGTTTACAATCAGGATTCCTCAGGGGTTCATGGGTTCACTGCCATCACTGGTCTATTGTACTCCCCTCTTGGTTTGCTCCCATTTGGGCAGGTCAGACCAGCTAATCTCCCTAAACAGTATCTTCAGGGCTGTTCTCTGTAGCACTGTCATCTAAGGAGAGGGTGTCACGTCTTGAGCTGTGGCTGGCTCTGTAGTCATCTCTGGGAGCGAGCTGCTCTGAGCAGAAACATCATCCTCAAGGATTGGCACGCTGGAATGAGATCTGCACCTACTCTCCCTTTCCTGTGGAGATATAAACAATACCCTCTCCTTGGGTGGGTTAGTGCCCTGACACCTCATTGCTGTCTATTTTCTTCCCCAACCCCTCTGTGGACCTTAAAGGCATATGAAAAAGGGGAGGTTGGGGTGGGTGGGGGAGAAGATGCCTTTCAGGACAGGAGCTATCTGCATCTGTTTTTGATGACATATGAATCATTGGGTTTGGTCTGGCTCATGCCAGAGTATCTGGTCCTCAACCCGGGAATTGTGGATTGTGTGTATTTTTCCTTATGCCCGTTCTACTGTAAAAACTTTTTTTTTTTAATGTGAAATATCACTCATGTGAACTTGTTGGAAAGCCTCAATGATTTGGAAAGATGTCCACTTGAGTTTTGTCTT